CTCCTCCAAACAACCCGGCTCGCAGACCACGTCTCAACCGCCGAAATCGAGTTCCTACGATGGAACATCCTGCACTGTTCCCTGCGCGTGAGGATGAGACTCATGTCAAAGGAAACTGCCCTTGGCCCCAGGATCACCTATCCACCCACCCGAAAGCCCGAAGATAAGCATTGGGGCAAAGGACGTCGACGACCAGTGAGGCATAATACCGTCCCCAAAGGCGCTTGCGTCGGACTCTTCACGTACCGTTCCAAAACATGCGAATCGGATATCGAGATCCTCACTTCCGATCCACCTAATGTGATCCATTATTCCAACCAGCCGGATTACGATCCTATCTCAGATACCGCTATCCCTGGGGCGGGCTCCATGGTGAATATTTCGGTGCCGTGGACGGTGTGGTCGACGCATCGCTTGGATTGGTTTCCTGATCTCTCGCGTTGGTATGCTGGGGAGACTTTGCAGGCGGTTAAGGCCTATGGTGTGCCTCGGGAGCCGAGTACTTTGGTGTTGAACCTGTGGAGCGATGGGGGGAATTGGACGGGGAATTTGAGGGCTGGGGAGTCTGTATTCTTGGGAGTTGAGTGGATTGAGATGGCGTTCAATGTTTCTTCAGTGGCTGGGGCGTCTGTTGGCCGTGGTGAGGGCTTGACGAGGTCGCGAGGTAGCGCGGTTCGGAGGGCTGATTTGGGGGATGTTGGCAGTAATGTGGGCAGAGCTAGGAGTAAGACATTAGAAGGTGATATCCCGAAGCAAGAGAATATACGAACAGGGAATGAGGTTGGGTGTCGAAAAGCGTGTTATGTGAGTGACTTTCATTAAGTTCTCTGCAATCACTACGTCTTCATGGTCTTATAGATATTCAATCGACATCTTTACAATGGAGACACGGTGCCTGTGCAAGTATTCACATTGGTCTAGGTTGTTTCCACAGATATCTAGCACCCAAATCAACCAAGTCCATGTCCATGTCCGTATTTCAATCCGTCCCCATGTCGCATGCTGTATGTGCATGTAAGCATCGAAAGCGATTTTCGCCGGGCAAACCCAATTTAATGTCAGATGTCAGGAGCTTTGCTTCAACTGACGGGTATCACTCGTACATGTGCCAAACGCCGTTATGATCCCAAAACAAACTCTTACAATATGCCCATCCTATACTCTCACAACCCCCAAACTCCACGCAATGCAAGAAAGAAAAAAAGAAGAAAAAAAGACAAAAAAAGTAAAAAGACAAACACTAGACAACACAATACAACGTCGACAGCTTGGTTTTCTTCCTCTTCCCCCTACTTCCCCACTGGGAGGTGTTGCTCTAGAGCAACACCTCCCCGCCGGAGGCCGGATCGAAATCCCCCTCCAGCCCCCCGGCCATCAGCTCGGCCACTATCTTCTTGCGCAGCAGGACAATGTCCCGTGCGCAATAGGATAGTGGCTCGATGCCGATGGCCACCGCCTTTGCGGTAGACAAAAGGAACACGCCGCAGTCACTACCGTTGTCTTGCTGAGGAGAGACAGATGGTAGGACGCGCCATTCCTCTTCGGCGTAACGAGGGCCCAATTCGTTACGGAGCCAATCCTTCATCACCCCCACGTGCCGGTGCGAGACTGAGCCCAACGAGTCAAAATGCTCGATAGTGCGTTCCAAAGGCTTGATCACGATAAGCGTCCAGTGCGCACTGTTGTGCACCGGTACAAACACGGTATCCACGTCAAGAAGAGATGCGCCGCCAATCTTGGCACGATTCGCCCAGCGTCGGACAGACTGGTAGCCCTTGTCCCGCATGTTGGAGAAAAAGAAAGTATTGAAAGCGTGGAACCGGGGTTTGTCGCCACGGCCGTTGTTGTGATTCGTGCGGCGCAGATAGTCAACGATTAGAGCAAGGTACGAGTTGATAACTTCATCGTTCAACCAGGCCATGGGAGTAAAACACGTGGACAGATCCTTCTTCGTCAGTGGGTCCCCAGCCAGAGTAGTGGCGATGCGGCGATTGCTGCTTGTGGCCATGGCACTGGACACTCGGCTCATCCACTCCCCTGAAAGAGGGCGTACAGCTGGGCCTTCAACCCGAATTCGAGCGGGGATTCGTTTGCGCTCCTCCTCCTCTTCGATCTTTCTCCACTCCTCAGCATAGACAGACTCCGTCCGGCCCGGCGGAAGCGGCTTCGCTTCCGGGTAAAAGAGTCTCACGGCCGAGACGGGTCGTCCAAGTGGATGCTCAATCTGTTCTTCCCACCAATGTCCCCCAAGTCCAACCTGCTCATCTTTAGTCTCGGTCTTTATCGCCGAACTAAAAACCGGCGGGACATTCTCCTTCTGCTCGTTGGACGCCTTTCTAAGACTAACACGGTCGATGTTGGGAGATGTGGGATGAAGGTATGGAGCAAGGTCAGGGAGAGTAGGCTCCGGGATGAACTGTTCAATCGGATCCTTGAAGCGCACTCGCTTCTTCTGTTTCGGCTTCGGCCCCTCTTCTGGCGCGGGCTCGCCTAGGCGTTCGGTGCGTTCGGAAAGTCCAATGTGGGTGGAGACGGGAGGTCTCTGGTCCTTCAAGACTCCGCTGAAGTCCCCAGTTTTCCATGCTTTTTGTAGCGCAAGTTCGCGTTTGCCACGCTCCAGGTTCCTACCTGGCCACAACCGACGTTTAAGGTTGGGGCTCATAGACTTGACCTGCGGGGACTTCTGGACGCCTGTCGGTTTCTTAATTCCACTATTAACCCAGTGGCTCCCTATACTCTCAGGAGATCGGCTGCCGCCCTTTTGAGGGTTTCTCACAGAGTTTGCGGCGTGTGACATGAAGTAAAAATCATTTGGCATCTCCATGAAAGACGAAGATCCAGTAGTCGGATATTGTGGAATGTCCAGAGTCAAATCTGGAAAAGGAAGATTTTGCACTGTAGGATAACCTCTCTGTCTACGTCGTTCATAGTCTCTAATCATGCGTTTCTGCTCCTCGGGGAGGCGACGAAGTGCTGCGACTCGTGACGGAGAAGCTCGGAGGCCAGGAGAGCGGCTGGATGGCTGCGGACGGCGACGACATCGTACGTAGTCAATCACAGGCTGCCCAATCATATTCCAAGTTTTGGTAAGAACGTTCTTGACGGTTCCGGACGCAGCGTAGGCGCCTTGAACAATGGTGTAACATGTTGCCCAGTATGGTCGTAGCATATGCGAGATCTGCCGATTGTAGAGGTCGTTGTCAGGTGTGTCGATCGCTTGCATCCGCTGATCGTCTGCATTCTCAGATTCATCAGCAGCAGCGGTGTTTGAGCCACTGGGGTCAGGCAGTGAGGTAGTAGGAGATGGCGCGTCAAGTGCGCCCGTCATGAGAGGCTCTTCTCCTAAGCGCAATACATCATTGACAGAAGCAGCATTAGGTGTTGCAGTGGCAGATACATTATCATGAGAAGGCTGCTCAGGCCATCCACCAGGAATGAGGACATCAGTGCGGCGGGGATGACCAGTCTGGTCAGTAACGTTTAGGCAAGTAGACAAATGACTCTCGGCCGCGAATGCGATAGGAGCGGTCAGGGTTTGGAATTGCGTAGAAGTATCGCGGCGGACGGGAAAAGTAGCGGTTGGTACAGTAGGCTGTTCCTGGGTGGGATGTGTAGCGTGGGTTGATGGCGCTTCGGCTCTCCGGGTGTCTTCCTGGCTTGTAATAGCGGAATTGGGGAACCCTTCCTCGCTAACGCGTCGATATTTGTTCGACGGGCTATCCGTCTCGGGGGTAGCACGGTAAGTTGGTTCATTGAAGCCATCGTCGACTGATCTCTTCCGAGAGTTAAACGAAGTCGCGGTAGTAATCGATGTGTTGGACTCAAAACTAGGAGTTTTGCGGTCCCAAATGGACTTGGTGGTCAAAAGACTGTTGAAAGACGAATCACGTGTGGTGGGAACGCTTGTTCCAATAGTCACTGGCTTATGAGGCAGAGACTTGAATATGTTGTTCGAATGAGAGCTGAACCTGTTAGTCGAGGTGAAGGCATTTGTTTCGTTATTCAAATGGCCGATTATGTTGTTCGTGGCAAAAGCATTGCGGAGGAAGGGCTGCGCGATGAACTGCTGCTTGAAGCGGCCTGTCGATGGGTTAATTCGCGCCTGCGGTGAAAATCGCGTCAAAGGTCTGATGATTGGAGCTCGTGTCGCCGGCTTTCCTTCGAGTCTGGTGGCTTTGGGCACACCACCGCTCTTAGGAGGAGTAAAATGAACCCAATACTCTGGTCTCGAGACGTTCCGGTCGGAGGTCCCGTCCATAGGCTGGGCATTGTGCCGTGACTGCTCGTTTGAGGGAAGAGGGCTGATATCCATGGGGTCGTAGTATTGTTCTTCGGTGCCCATACAGGTTTCTTCTGCATCTATTCTGCACATGTTTCTCATGGTCGTGTCCTCCATCACGCGTTGCTGGGTCGAGAAGACGCCAGCCATGGTGGACTTGAAATCAGGATGATTGGGAAAAGTAGGTACAGTTACCAACGTAGAAAGATTTGAAGCGCGTTGTAAGCGAGAAAATCGTGTAGTGAGAAGGCAAAAGATGATGACGAACAAAAAGAGGATCAAGAAGACGTGGGTGGAAGTGGTGGAGAAATGAGGGAGGGGGAAAGTAAAACAGATGGGATCGCAATTACTGGCCATGGGTGGTTGCCATGGTTTTTATTGAGGTCGCGACAGTCGCTGGAGTGAATGGCAGCTCCATGAGCGTGCTTCGCGTGATAAACAGATGGCAGGCTGGAGAGGCGCAAAATGAGCCTTCCCACCGGCGCGCAATCTGGAGACGTGAATTGATGGAAAGGAAGTTAAATTCCCGGCATGGTTTAGACGCCCACAAGCTCACCCACGCTTTCCCCCTTTGGGAAGCTCACGTGATATGGCCGTGGACAACATTCAAATCGATCTACAAGTAGCTCATGAGTATATCAAGAACACTTCTTCTACCATTGAAGATGCAGTTTCAATATTCTGGTCATTACCCCTCTGTATATAATCGAGGCCTCAATCAATTCGAACCTCTGTTGGACCTCCCAGTCTCTCTTCAACGCGTAACCACACCAACGAATGGAAACAAAGAAAAACAAAAAACGGGGGGGAAAATACATAACGCATCAAAGTCATATATGTACACCAGAAGACCAGCTATGGTACAGAAGTAATGATGACTCGTGACGTTCAGCCCGCTGAACTTGAACCTCTCAGCTTATATTTCAAATGGCTTTAAATCGGCGCAAGGCCAACTTTGTCAAAGACAAAAGGTGCTCCCTCCATCGCAATCCAGGCAATACCTAGACAGCGTAAGCCAGGTTCCGAAAAGTGTAGAAAGGGATAAAGAATTCACATACCGGAATATACCACCAGCTTCGTAACTACCTCCACATCGTATCGTACACGAGGTCTCTTAATCCGCGCAAACACCTCTTCTTCGTCCGGCTCGGGGTCGGGAACCAAATCAGGGAATGGCTCCGTCAGTGGAGGTGCTTCTGTACCATCAACGCCAGTTGCGATTCGAAGATTACCAGTTCCCATCATGGTTTCATATTCATGGAGTTTGGAGCGCTTCCGTGATAGTTGAGGATGTTGCCCGTCGGAGATGTCTTGCTGAGTATCCTCCTCTACGAGAGGCGACGTTCGGTTGCTATTTGACAGGCTTTCTCGTCTGCGCTTTTCCCGGTAGGCCAGGGTTTCGTAGGCATCAGCTTCCGATTGAGGACCAACAGAAATTGCTCGTCGTCGGGGGTGGCGGATATTCGAAAAGATGGACGGGATTTCGGAAAAGGTTGGGAACACTTCATGATCCTTGAGTTGTGTGGGAACTTTGCTGTATTGC